TAAACCTCCTATAGAGTAAGGTAGGTAGAATCCACTAGCGGTTAAAGAGTTAATATAGTAGAGATCCTATAATGTTTAGAATCAATACCACATATATATCATAGGTATAAAATAATAATAGTAAAAAATATATCTTTAAATAAAAGTCCCAAAGGATCAGAAGTTAGTCTCATATATGTGAAGCAGGCATCAAACTATTTATAAATGGTTTATTGTCTAAACAGCACACGAAAATATAAAAGACTAATAATAAAGAATAAAAACAGTCCCACATGAGAGAGATATATGGTATACCGGGTCACAGTAGACTGAGGGTCCAAATGTATAGATGTAGATTGCACTCTCTTGCCGGCCGGACAGAGGTGAAGGTAGACTGCCTCGTGCTACACTGACACCGGGTATTTGCCACGTGCGCTCCACTGCGGCTGCTGGATGCGTTCCAAATGTTCTCTCTCGGGAGCTGACTGATGATCGGAAGATGCCTGCCTTACGCGTTTCGTGATTCCAAATCACTTCATCAGAGGATGGCATCAGAGAGTCTTTGACCTCTTCTATACTCTCTTGCTCTAATCAATTAACCCTCAGTTTACTAAAGTAAAAAGTGAGCAAGCAAACAATTGAAAATAACACTCTATGGAAAAATAAAATACAATGTGTTCCATCATAAGTAAATTATCAAATACTAATACATTATAAACATACTTTATCTGTGCATAGTTCAATGGAAAAATACCATTAATTTTAATACTTAATTCAAGAAATTGGTCATCATATATCTTCATAGCACTTGATACATACACTGTTACAAATTCAAAATAACAATAAAAATGAATTCATTTGAGTGACATGAGATTAGATACTTTTAGCAGAGAAAGACATGACATGGTAAAAAGCTGAATGGTGGATTAATACATATGGTGTTAAAATAAACCATCTGAAATATCAAGAACCTTCTAAAAGATGGGGTGAGACATATGATATAAAGGATACTTCACAATTAAGCATACTTGAAATGGTGGAATGTCTGAAAAAAATGCAAATAGCAAATTATTAAGATATCTTGAAAACCAATCGAAAATGTTGATTCTAAAATTTAATATATAATAGAAAATCTATACGAATAATAAATATTATAAAAAATGTAAACATAAGATATGATAAGAATGTTATAAAAATCATATAAGAATATTAAAAATATGGCAACGAATACATATAGTACCTATAATTTAAAAATATAGGATATGATAAAAATCATGTGAAAATATTAAAATATTGTGAATGTACATATGGTACATATAATATAAAAATATTATAAAAACCATGTAAAAATATTAAAAAATATTAAAAAAAATAAAAAAAAAGGAAAATGGTTATGGAAACTAAAAATCTTGATAAAAATAAATAGTATTATAAAAAAAGCATTCAGCTCAAAATCCACGTTAAGACCAAATGGTTCCAGACTGTTAAGTTGAAATATCCATTTTGCTTCATTTTTGTCCAGCATTTTCTCAAAATCACCTCCCCTCCAATGTGGATTAACTAAATCAATGGCATAAAATTCTAAGCCCATTGGATCATTGGAATGATATTCGGAGAAGTGTCTTGAAAGGTTGTGCGTATTTAATCCCTTTTTAATATTGCGGATATGTTCTCCTAACCTCGTTCTGAATTTTCTTTTCGTTCTACCCACATAATGTTTCTTGCTGGGACAAATTAGAAGATAGATGACTCCTGTGGAGTTACAATTTAAATTTGACTTAATTTTGAATTCTTCATCTCCATTCATGTTACTGAATTTTCTTGTAAAAGCTGATTGTGTTGGGTTATTCTTGCAGCCTGGACATTTATTACATTTCTGAAAACCCGCCATCTCCTGGTTAGTTCTTGATGGTCTAATTTAATAAGGGATATTATCTAACCAAGATTTCTTGTCGTGACTAGTGATGTCGCGAACCCGAAATTTTCGGTTCGCGAATGGCGAACGCGAACTTCCGCAAATGTTCGCGAACCGCCCGAAACGCCATTGACTTCAATGGGCAGGCGAATTTTAAAACACACAGGGACTCTTTCTGGCCACAATAGTGATGGAAAAGTTGTTTCAAGGGGACTAACACCTGGACTGTGGCATGCCGGAGGGGGATCCATGGCAAAACTCCCATGGAAAATTACACAGTTGATACAGAGTCTGGTTTTAATCCATAAAGGGCAGAAATCACCTAACATTCCTAAATCACAATCAATATGGATTGACACCTGACATATGACATATTGACACCTTGACATATGGATTGACACCTGTCCTCAGAGCCCCTGATGCACACGGACACAGAGCAGAATAGAGACTGGTCCCCCTACATAGGGTCACTTGGCAGATATGGATTGACACCTGTCCTAAGGATCCCTGATACACACTGACACAGAGCAGAATAGGGACTGTTCCCCCTACATCGGGTCACTTGGCAGATATGGATTGACACCTTGTTACAAACTGCTATTTGTAACGGGCCCTTTAAATGGCAAATTGCCCTGCTTCCCTGGGTTGTGGAGAAGCCTACTTGCCAGCCTCCTCCCGCATGACTATGGCCCCTGGGAGATTGTGAAAATGTATGCACTTTTATTTGGTGTGTATGGCCCTTTAAGACTGTCGGTGGGCATATTGGGGCTTATGGACTCTTTATGTGACTGGTGCTGGCCCTTTAAACACCTTTTTTGGGACATCAGGAAGATTGGGACACTGCCCCTTTAAGGCCGTGTCCCCAGACTTGTTGGGGACACGGCCCCTTTAAGACGGTGTCCCCTGTGTCCCCAGACCTGGTGCAAACCCTTTGTGCCTGCCTTGCTATTTCCCACTTGGTTCAGTAAATGGGGCTTACTAAACCAAGTACCACACAGGCAGACCACCCAGAAGTGGAAGTGTGCAGGCAATTTACCTCCCAGAAGCTGCGGTTAACCACAGCTTAATTGACAATGCTGGGAGGTCTTTGTTCGTTTGCTGAACACGTGGCGGCGGCCATCTTTGATCATTCGACGAGGTCAGCGGTATGTGTAGCCAAATTCACGGAACTAAAATCGGCTACACATTTCCGTGAACACCGCTGAGCTCTACCTTCTCCCCTACTGGTTTTACAGCTGCAGAGACTAAGTCCCATTCGGCGATGGGACTTAGTCTTTTTTTCAGCCGTTTTTTTCAGCCTTGTTTCAGCTGCAGAGACTAAGTCCCATTCGGCGATGGGACTTAGTCGTTTTTCAGCCTGAAATAGACCGACCTCACAGCCCAAATCTATGGAACTGTTTTGGGCGGGAAAATGTGCTTGCGGTCGGTCATAAAGGGACCTCCAGCTAACTTTTTAACCCCTGGATGGATTTGGCTGATTTTTGGTTATGTTTATGTTTTTAAGTGTGCTGATTCCAAATATGTAATTATGAAGATGGGATGTGTAGTTTTAAAGTTACAGTGTATGGCTAAAAACTGTATTTTTACTGCCTGTGTTTAATTATGTTAATTTCTTCCCAAACGTCATTTCGTTCCAAGTTGAGTGAATGTTAAAAAAATATATTTTTGTTCGGAGTGTGAGAAATGCTTTTCAGCCGCTTCCAATCTTAAGCATCATTTGAGGAGCCATACAGGAGAGAAACCTTATTTGTGGTGTGTTTAGTATTGTTCTGATCAGTTTAATACCTTCCGCGTCTCCTATCAGTGGGCGTGTATATGGCAGCCATTTTAGGAACCGTACACCTGGGACCCGAGCAAGGTCACCTCGTTCAACAGGCTTGCAGCGTATCCTCCAGGAAGAAGAGCCTGAACCCTTACCGGCTGCACGTGTCTTACCTGTACATGGAAAGCTGCTCTGGTTCCTTGATGGGCCAGCTGCCCGTGAGTTAACATGTCCCGTGGAGAAGCACTCTGTCCTGTAAAGCCTCACCAAAAAAAAGGAGTGGTGTGTTTAGTATTGTTCTGATCAGTTTAATACCTTCCGCGTCTCCTATCAGTGGACGTGTATATAGCAGCCATTTTGTCAGATTCAAGTTCTTGTGCCCCACAGTTCAAAATAACATTCAAATGACAATTCATGACAGATCACACAAGTGAATAGCCCTGCCAACGTCTTCTCAGAATTTTTTAGTTTTCTATGAAGAAATAGAAATGCAAGAGCAGAATAGAGACTGTTCAGTTTAATACCTTCCGCGTCTCCTATCAGTGGACGTGTACACGGCATTGATTTTTGTAACAGGTAGATGGAAGAAGAGGCTTGGTCGGTCCTCTTACTGCAAATTTGGGGCACTGCGCGGTCAAGCTAATGTGACACCAGATAGGAGTGGTGTGTTTAGTACTATTTTTATCAGTTTAATACCTTCGGCGTCTCCTATCAGTGGACGTGTACACGGCATTGATTTTTATCTAAGCCGTAAACTTTTGCATAGCGAAGTAGATTCACTGCCATTGAAAAGGAGTGCATGGCGGTGGTGTGGGCCCTCAAAAAGCTGCAACCTACTTGTATGGACAACCGTTTACCTTACTCACAGATCACAACAAATTTGGGGCACTGCGCGTGCAATCTAATGTGCCACCAGATAAGAGTGGTGTGTTTAGTACTATTGTTATCAGTTTAATCACTGTT